TTGTGAGCCTATCTATTGAGCGGACTATAGAGATATCCTGCATAGAGCTTGAACGGCTTGTTATATTAAGCGTGTACAGACCCCCTCATTCATCTTACGAACTATTTGAAAAAAGATTAGATGAAGTTTTAGCCAAATTAAATAATATAAATAAATATATTGCTGTTTGTGGTGACTTCAATGTTAACTTATTAGAAGATTCCAGTGCTAGCAGTAGGCTCATATCATTTTTCCAATGTTATAACCTTGTGAATCTTTTTTTGGTGCCTACTAGAATAACTTCTACTACTGCCACTTGTTTAGACAACATTTATACCAACGCCGTACCTAGTAATAAATCTATTATAAATAAATTAACTTCAGATCACTGCGGTCAATTGGCCACTTTTAATATAACTGTTGACAAAATGCCGAAAAAGGATATCACATGTGTTCCGATAAATAATGGTCGACTTAAAGCTTATAGAAATAACGTAATGCTTAAACTAACTGACATTCCGTACGTTAACGATCCCAATAAATTGTATAATTCAGTTTTCAACATAGTGAAAAGTGAACGTGATAATGTTTTTAAGTCCAAAATCATAACTATTAATAATTCATTGAAATTTAGTGAATGGGCGACTGTGGGAATTCACAAAAGTAGACAAAGGCTATATGATCTTTACGATGAAAGAACTTATAACACTAGTAACAGTTTTAATGATTTTGTTAGGAAATATTCGAAAATGTTTAAACGTGTTTGTGTGGCAGCCAAAGCAATGTTTATTAATAATAAAATAAAAAGCAGCGCGAATGTAGTAAAAACGACTTGGAATATTATAAATAGCGAAACTGGAAGGGTCAAACCTCGTAACTTAGATTTTCAACTAAGATTTAATGACAAAATTGTAAACACAGACGCAGAAGTTGCTAAAATATTTGAAAATTTTTTTACCGACATTCCAATTTTGACTACTAATTCGTTAAATTCATCTCCCACGGCCGCTGAATCCTTACTAAAAGAAAATAATGCAGTTAGTGTCACTAATTTAAGGTTCCGTCATGTATTTCCAAACGATATTGTTAAAGCCTTTAAGTCTATAAATATAAAAAATACTGCTGATCTTGATGGTCTTTCAGTCAGAGTAATTAGTTCTATAGTTGATTGTATTGCGCCTTACTTAGCCTGTGTCTTTAATAAATGTGTTGATGATGGTGTCTTTCCTGACCTCATGAAGCAAAGTAAAGTTATTCCACTTTTCAAATCTGGTAGTATTTCTGACCCCACCAATTTCAGACCTATATCAATACTACCAACTCTCAGTAAAATATTTGAAAAAATTATTCTAAATCAGATGTGTGCACATTTTTATAGTAATAATTTAATGTCTCCTAAACAATTTGGTTTCACTCGGGGTCGCTCTACAACCGACGCTGGTGTAGAGTTGATTAATCATATATTTGATGCATGGGAAGTCTCACATGATGCTATTGGTGTATTCTGTGACCTTTCCAAGGCTTTTGATTGTGTGCACCATGATACACTGGTCAGGAAACTTCGCCATTATGGTGTGGCGGGACGTGATCTCGACCTTCTTAAATCGTATTTGCGTGGTAGGGTACAGAGGGTCGATGTTAACGGTACGAGATCGTCAGGGTCTGTAATTAGCATGGGTGTCCCTCAAGGTTCAATTCTAGGCCCATTTTTGTTTTTAGTTTATATTAATGATTTACCTAGCCTTATGGAGGGTATAAAACATGAGATAGTATTGTTTGCTGATGATACTTCCTTATTATTTAAAGTTAAAAGGCACCAATGTTCCTATGACGATGTGAACAATGCTATATCTAAAGTAGTTGATTGGTTTGCTGTTAATAACCTACTTCTTAATGAGAAAAAAACAAATTGTGTGAAATTTACATTACCCAATGTTAGAGAGACGGTTACAAACATTGTAGTTAGAAACGAAAAATTGAATCTTGTGGATACAGTTGTATTTCTAGGTATAACGTTAGATGCTAAATTGCAATGGGGTCCCCATATAAGTAAGTTGTCAAAACGGCTCAGCTCTGCAGTGTACGCGATTAAAAAAATAAGGAAACTTTCAGACGTCGAAACCGCTAGATTGGTTTACTTCAGCTACTTTCACAGTCTAATGACATACGGCATTTTGCTTTGGGGTAATGCCGCCGATATCAATAGAATCTTTGTCCTGCAGAAACGTGCAGTTAGGGCAATTTACAATCTGGGCCCCAAAGAATCTTTGAGAGATAAGTTTAAGGAAATTAACATTCTTACACTAGCCTCACAATACATTTATGAAAATATAATTTATGTTAAAAGGAATAGTAATTTCTTTATGAAAAATAGTGACAGACATAACATTAATACGAGGAATAAAAATAAACTAGCTTTTCTTGATAGTCGTCTTCACAAAGTCAAACAATCATTTAAGGGGCAATGTATACGCTTCTATAACAAGATTCCGGTTGATATACAAAATTTGCCTTTCACGAGGTTTAAAACTATAGTGAAACAAAAACTTTATACTAAAGGTTATTATACAACTTCTGCGTACTTGGATGACAAAAATCCGTGGTAGTAACCCGTTTAGCTCATGGAGGTAGTCTCAATCTGATGTTTCAAATAAAAAAATATTGTAAATGTTATTTACAAAGAGCAACCCCTAGAGTTTCTTGCTCATTCTCCTCAGGGGAATCTGCCTTACGAATGAGCGGTAGAGTTTAACCATTGTGACGATTTCAAGTGTAATAATGCTTACCTATGAAATAAAGATTATTTTGAATTTGAATTTGAATTTGAAATACTTGTATCAAGCACCGGCTCCCACAATACACTACTGTAATGTACCTACTAAGATTTATACTGTTTTGTATTTTGTGGTGAGAAATAAACATATATTTATTATTATTGTATTCATCAATAAAATCGACTTGGTTAATTTGGATTTTAATTAAATTAACCGTTTTTTAAAGAAACTTTTACGTCTCAAAGAACCGTAAATATGTAAAATCTCAAACTCTCTAAGTCTACACACATTAAAAGACTATATCATCTGGCTGTTTAAATTTCTTCGGACAACTGTTAAGTAATTTCCCATAATCACATATGCGTAGGTTAATTATAAATAGCATTAACGTCGCATTGTCCAGAACGCATTCGACTGTGAAGTTAAGGAATGTTCCCATCGGACAAAGGTTAGGAAAAAAGGATGGCAGTTGCATCGTTTGCTGTGTGAGAAGTTCCTCTCTGATTGGAAATGAAGTTACTTTTTCGAATTTCAGTCGCTTATATTTATTTTTTCCAACAAACCAACGTTTTGGGGTTCTTTACAGGTACCGTGGTCACGTCATTCTGATTCGAAAAAATAGTTTCATTTAAAATATGTAACAATCGTAAAAAGTTTGTCGAAGGAAGTACTACCACCTTGCCTATTCCTGCCGCCAGGCGATAATGTGAGCACTATTGCATTCCTGTATTGAAGGGTGTGTTCCGGTATCGGTGTAATTACGGACACATGGGACTTGTCAATTTATGTTTCAGGATGATGGGGCATTGGCAGTGCCCCTCAGATCAACGCGATTTAAAGCTATGCGTGGCACTGCAACTATTATGCACAGATGTGTAGCTTACCACCAGGGGCACGATGTATTCTACCGGACCCTTGATAGCATAAAATGTTATCCAATTTTATTTTATTTAAGAAGCATCGAAGACATACATTTGTAATGGAATTCAAGAAATAAATTGCTCTCAGTCTTGGCTGTATGGCGCACTAGTGACTACCTTTTCCACAATGGAAAAAGCGGTACCAAAGAAATAAAAGAAAAATTACATTTTTTTTGGGCTCCCGTTAGTAACTTCCTTAATTATATGCACCATCACCTATGCGCCTATACTTTATTACTTCTCGTTGTGTGGAAGTTTTACATTCTTTTTCTATAATACTCGTATTATATAAGATTCTTACAATAATTTACAATGTCAAATGTCTTATGTAACCGAGCCCGGATCTCGCACGAGTATGTGTGTCTACTTCTTCTTTTTAGCGACACTTAACCACGACTTGTTCGTTCCGTCACTTGATATCATACAAAAAAATACAATCTCAAAAACCTAAGTAGTTGGTATTCCTCTCTGATTCTCTGATACTGAGACAATAATAGCGACTTCTACGACAATTTTTACTCTCATTAGTCTCTAATTTGTCTACAGTTTTACCGTTGTTCACATTAGGTACACTTAGAAAACATCAAATTTGACATTTTGTACTTTGGATCGCAACCGGTCTTGTGTTAAGCTGCATAGAGTTGAATTTTAAATCATAAGTGTCGAGTTTGATGTAATTTTGACTATATACCTATTTTGAGTTTATACAAACATTAATCTCATAAGTATACAAGGTAGAAAAAAACAAATGGGACATGAAGGGGAATTATCTTATCAAACCAACCGAAAATGCACAAAATAAACAATTTATTTTATTGTACTAATCAATAGGATCAATGATAAAGATGAAATTTCTTCAATAAACATTGCGTCTTACAATTAAAACGTCCATGAAATCTGATGTTAATCTAATATTATTATCGACTCTACACGAAGAACACATAGGCATTAACTACTAAATATCCACATAACATTGTTATTGATGCTATATAGTTATTTGCAGTTTTTAGTACGTTCGATTCCTTGCTCAGGTTTTCAATAAAACTCTGGATGCAGTTATTTATATTAAAAAAATAATAAATGTTTCTTTAAGTGAAATTTGGTGTCTGAAGCATTTACGGTAGTTCCCCTCTGTGTCCCACTAATTTTTTCCACCTTGTATCCATATACAAGCTGGAAAAAATTAATGGGAAATTAATTAATTAATGTCAAATTCTGTTCTTAAAAAGATATGCCTACCGACAATTATTATACCGCCCCATAAAAAAATACCGCTGCTGTTAATTTCGTTCTATTCTTTTCTTATACCATTTCTCTTTCTTTGCAGATACTCTCAAGAAAACGATCTCCTCAAACATTTGAGAAGATGTAGTATTTCGAGGAACTCTTCAAAAACCACAAAGTAAATCAATCAAACAAACAGAAACAAATGGCGCAATGAAAAATTTCATAAAGCCACAAAGCAGTTTATAAATCCTTTGAACAAACCTTTGAATCCATGAAGCCTTCTAAAGCCGAAGCGACGATGTCGTCGAGCAATGAGCTGAGCGACGCAGAGTCGCCGAAGCAAATGAAGCCAGCTGTAAAAAGCATATTCTGCTGCACTGTCACTGCTGCTGCGGGATTCATTGCTGCTTACGCATTGGTGAGTGAGATAGTTGTGATGAAAATGTGTCAATAAATGTTACCCAAATGTCAGTGAAGCTTAGTACACCAGCAAATTTAGCGGAACAAAAACATATATGCAAATAAATAAGAATTAGACATAAAATACCAATTTAATTTCTTTAACATTTCTTAACATCGATTTACCTTTATCGAAATAAACCGAAATTAAACAAAATGCATTTTTTTTAGATTTTATGACAAATCAGAAACAGCTGAAAATGCGAAAACAATCAAACTTAGATAAATAAAAAATCTACAAGTAAAGTTTACGAAGTTTATGAGAAAGCAAAATTAACCTTAGACCACTTGACAAGCCTGTCAACAGAATATTAAAACAAATTAATGAAAAACGTAAGTCGACCTAAAGTAAAAAAGTAAAATAATCGATCAGACGTTTGCAAAAAACACGCTTTATTTCGAGGATTTAATTAGTGTTTCGCTAAGTGTGCCGGAGATTGTAGTTGTTTACTAGTACTGAAAATCTATTATCATTGCAATTTATTTTCTGTATAAATGATAACCGTCTAAACGCAAATTAGAGCTAAAGCGTCCAAATAAAGTAGACCTTTCTATTTTCTTGATTAGCCTTAAAATCGGCTCATATTCAAAGCTCAAGACATACCAGGCGTTTGACCAATATTTTTTGATCTCCAACCGGACCCTCAACTTTAAGAAATATTGCAAATACAGGGCCCGACATAAAATGGAAAGCAATTATGGCCATGGAGCATGCGGTTATAATCTGTATGACGAAATTGGGTAGAAGTGAGAGTGAACCAGTAGTATATGTAACTGGTTTTTTGGTTACCATAAGTTACGTCTATGTTAAGTTTACTAGTCGTGTAAGTTGTTTGACGCAGTTTGAAGCTATCTGCTGATGCACTTTAGTTATAAAGTTGCTTGTATTACGATTCTTTTGCTGCCCCCGTGGCCGAACGGTTACCATGTCGTACTCCCAGGCAGAGTGGTCCTAGGTTCGATTCCCGGGCCGGGAGAAATATTTGTATGGCCTATATTTATTTCTCTCTTGAGTTTGGTTTTTGTGGTTGTCTATGTGTGTGTGTGACACAGGGTTTTCCCTAGTGCGGAGCTATGTTGAGTGTGTGCGATATTATAAATTAAAAAAAAGTCTGATCTCGAAAACAGAAAACTGTACTAAGGCAGTACAGTTTTCTCTGTACTAAGGCAGTACAGTTTTCTGTTTTCGATGTAATTTAATAGGTTTTTAATTTAATTTTATTTTATAATACCAAGTGACGGGGCGAATAATTTATATATATATTTGTAATTCTTATTATAATTAATAATTATATATATTTAAGGTTAGCGACACGCCTGTCCATAACAGTTGTAATACCGCTCAGAGCTTTAAATCGCAAAGATCTGAGGGGTTCTGCCACTGAGCCCGTCTCTCTGAGACATGGGTTGTAAAGACTTATGTGCCTGTAATTTTATATGAGTTCCATAAAAACTCAGAATGTAGCTATGTATACAGGGTACACTTAACGATTATTCCATTAATGCCCAGGCTATATATATAATTCCATAAATATGAGAGATATAAAAAGCTTTAAACTGTTATCAAAAGTACGTTACCCAATGAGTAAATTGACATTAATAACTTTTAAAAAATAAAACTAGAAATAACCAAAATTTTAACATTATACGCTCCTCATACTTTTAATATGACGTTTGTATAGGTTTTAGTTTTCCTAATGTAAGAGGTAACAATAAGTTAACAGGTAACAAAACTGCTATAAATAAAGTAATAAAACTTCTTTTATTTTTTTCTTTTAATTTAATAAAAATATAATGGCATACTTAGTCAATTATTTGATCATAGATTTGAGCTGTCCATAATAATAAATAAATATGATCAAATTTTTTTAGTGCTGATCGACTCAGTTTCATGTAAGGATCATTTCATTGTATGGGACAAAAAATCGGGACAGCAAAGTGGGTCAAATTTGAGTAAAATTTTTCTTCACACAAAATGAATAACATTTTATCAATATCGAGTTCTTAGGTTTTCGCGATTGTTACACAGGAAATGAAACTATTTTTCCGGATTTAAATCGCGTATGCGGCCCGAAACGTTGGTTTGTTTGAAAAAACAAATATACGTGATTTAAATTCGGAAAAATAACATTTTATGAAATTTTTATTTTATTTTATTTTATTTATGCATGGTAAAGTATAACTATATACATATATAACTAAAATAAACAGTGAAGTAGGTCAATCAGTTTACACTATTAGATATAATATAACATAAACATGTAAGCACTCTGGAGAGAAAAAATAGAAATCGAAGAAATTTTGTGAATTTTACAAAGAAAAAATACTTTCGTATGAATTAAGTAAAAAATCACTGAGTAACCCTCTCGCTGCGGCAATTCTAAATTTTGATCAAAGTAACCCGCACTGTACACTATGGTCATATTCATTATTTCCACTCTTACTTGGCTCCATGTATCGACGGTCATATTTGCCAGTGTTTCATGTTTGTCTGAACGTCAAATATTTATCTAAGTACCTACATCAAAGACTCAATAGCCAATGTTCCACGTGAAGTGCCACCCTTTGTGTATCACGTAATGCACTAATTTATTAATTAATTTATTTATCTCGTATTGCACATGTACGTATAAAGAAGGTCTTACAATAAAATTTAATATTGTACATAACCCATTCAGGGTGTTGCAAATAAGCTTTAAACGAAATCTATATATGATTAATAAATTGTAATTAATAATTATTTTAAAATTAAATTGAACGACGTGAGCTTTCCAGTGAGTCTTTTCTTTATTTTTCACACATAACTTATTTACCGAATAATATGATTCGTGAATAATCTCATTCAATATCTATTGCTTCAATCTCTTTTTAAATGCATTAAAATTGTCCTCTTTTCTAATAAATAATGGAGTTTTATTGTACGTTAAAATTGAACTGTACAATGGACCTTTTTAAACATTTCGAATTTGGGTTCAAGGAGGATTATATTATTTTTATTAAATTCAAAATATGTTGGTAGTTTACGGATAAATAATGCTATTTCCATGATATAAAAACATGGGAGAGTTAGCATGTTCTCTTTAATAAAATGTGGTCTACAACTTTCCCGTTGACGGATATTTACAATAATAAGGAGACACTTTTTTTTTAAGGATGAACAGGTTATGCGCATGAGTACTATGTCCCCAGAGAATAATTCCGTAGCGCAACCATCCATTCGCATACGCGTAGTATGCAGATAAGTAGCTTGATGTTGATTACCTCCCCCGATCGGAAACTGCGTCTTTTCTGAGTCATTCACAACTGGCCGATCGGAAACGTTTGACATTTCTAATCGGAACAATAGTTGTTTTTAGTCACAAATTATAAAGATATAGTGGGAATCAGGTTCATCCTCCGTTTCCTTACCATCCTTGATGAGATCATTCCTGTCATTAGGCATATTTTTAACTACTCTATGACAACCGGTGTCTTTCCATCGACATGGAACGAGACTCTAATTACTCCGTTGCCAAAAAAAGCTAACCCAACGTCTTTGTCGGAATATCGGCCTATATCTATTTTGCCATTCTTATTATATTAATTCTGTCTTCATGAGCTTTCCAGTTTAAAAGCGAATCGATGGTTATGTCTAACATTTGTATATTGTTTTAACTTTATTTAGAGTTATTGGTGATTTATAATAATGATGGAAACGTATGAGTTGAGTTTTATTATTGTTTATCTGAAACAATAACGTCATAAATTCGTCTTCATATTAAGGTATTCTGCTATAAAAATTATTGAAAGTAAATTCTACTATTTTTCAGGTGGCGTACGCTATAGCCTTAATCTACGAGATAGTATGGGTTGTCGAAGCACAGGGTGGGCTGCCGATGGCGTCAGCGCTGCTCATGATCTTGTACAGCATAGTCATAGCCGCCACTGTCACGTTACTACATGGGCTCATATCGGTAAGAATAAATACATACCCGATCATACACGGTCACTCTCGGACTAGTGTTCACTACCTAATTCCCGTGGCAATTTTTATTATTATATAATATTGTAATATAATTAATATAATATTGGAAAAAATTAATATAATATTGGACGATAAAAAGTCGAACACTTAAATAATAAAACCTGTCACGTAAATTAGGTAGTGAACACTAGTCCGAGAATGACAGGCATATCATTTAATAATAAATTGTAGAACAGTCTGTGTGGAAAAAAGAAACCGCTGATAAAATGTTCATGTAATATCAACTAGACAACATATATTATTTGACTGCCTCCGTGGCTGAACGGTTACCATGCCGGACTGCCACGCAGATGTCCCAGGTTCGATTCCCGGGCCGGGAGAATTTCATTTGTCTGGTTGGCTGTGTGAGAACTGGCATTATCGTGGTGCAAGATGATAAGGCATTTATGGTTACTTTTACGGAGTTTGTCAAAAACTTCCGGCTAACAAATGGTCGTGTACCAATTACTATTCACGGTACTACAATTCTCCAAAGCGATAGGAGCCACGTATCCAGTTTTATTAAAAAAAGAAGCAATCATCCGCTTAGAGGCACTTTGCACGCGTGCCACTTTGGTTGGTTTTTCGGCTCATCTCGAAAGACCCATGCGCTCGATTGCTGCTTTCTTTTGGGATCGTAATTATAAATCCATGTTTCGTCACCTGTTACTATTTCCCACACCAAATTTGACGCCCCTTCGTTGAATCTGGTAAGCATGGCATTGCACCAAGTGACGTGATCTGTTTTTTGAGCCTCAGTCAAATTGTGTGGGATCCACCGAGAGCACAGCTTTTTCACACTCAAATGTTTGTATAGTATTGCTTGTATTTAACTCATGCTTTGATCATACGGCGCACAGCATCGATGTTTTTGTTGTTAACAGCAGTGGACGGGCGACAATTAAGAAATTCGCCACTGAGATTCACACGACCGCGTTCTGAATTCTGCAAAGTAGCTATAAATAGTCGTCTTCCATGGTGCTTCATTGCCAAAGCAGTTTGAAGCCGAGGGAAGCTCCACTGAGCTGTTAAATTACAATTAAAGTAGAAAATCACGCTACGAAAATTTTCGCGAGTTAAATCCATGGTGATATAGACAACCAATTTCTAAAATGACGCCACAATGTAAAAACAAGTGACAGTCAGATGAAACAAACTGTATTCTTCAGCCAAAGAGTTCCATTTTCAAATGTTCTAAATACTTTTTAAATATTGTTTATGTAAGTGGCCAGTTCCGGAAACGATATAGAGCGCCCTATGTATAAATACAACATCACATACGTTGCTCTGATCCCAAAGTTTTTTTTTCAAATTAAATCACTCGTGTGTTATGGGAATCGGAAACAACGACTGTATCACAAACATCCACACCCGAGACTATGATAGAAAAATTACTTTTTCCACATTAACCCTGCCGGGAATTGAACCCTGAACTTCAGAGACGACACCATGAAATTCGGTGTGCCAGTCACTCGACCACGGAGGTAGTCAAACTTAGAGTGTGTAGAATACAATAAGGTGACAATGCGCCTGTAGTTTTTCGACAGTTAAACCGTCCCACAAGGTGGAAGCAGTTCGCCGTGCAAACACTTAAGGTTAGGTGGGATTCCCAAAGCATTCAACCAGTTGTCCCACAAAAGTATAAACAGTGGTGTGCCACAATAGACTCCGATTCCAACAACATATCTAAAACACCTCACTAATCTTATACAATTATCTTAACACAGCGTTTCAGGATACAAGTAATGTCATCTATTGGTGGCGCTCGGTACTAAATTGCAGTAGTGGCGTTACAGTATCAAAATTTTATTAATTTAATGTTTGTTACACACCCGGATACATCATTCGAGCTAAGATAGCTCTAATTTTCAGTATTAAATGCATTAAGCTTATACAATGTTTGATTAATAAAAAACTTTTATAGAGTTTTGGAACTGGAATACTGAACAAGTTCTTACAGCCTAAGCACACGGCGTATTTTATACACGCCGTAAACGCGCGCCGCGTTATCTGCGCGTATACGCGCCGCTGTAATAGTCCGTATGTATCGCACATTTTGATAAAAGACAGTTTTAATCTTAGTTTTGTTTGTTAATTTCAGTTGGTTTTTGAAATGAAGCAACTACATAAAATTATAAGTGTAAACGCCAGTGGAGCATATAAGCTTCTTGCTTGCAACACTATGGGTCGTATTCCAGAACTCTACTCAATACTCAAGTCAGGATTTGAGTATTGCAGTGAGCACTGAAAATCATACTCAAGTCCTTGCCATTAGAGTCGTATTTCCAGTGCTTGAAATCATACTCAAGTCTGCTCAAATCCTGACTTGAGCATTGTGTAGAGTTCTAGAATACGACCCTATGTTAGCGCGCGTTTCAATCGATTCAATACAGCGCAGCGCCAAGCGCGTCTGCGGCGCATATACGCGCAGATGACGCGAGTTTACGGCGCATTAAAATACACCGTGTGGATAGTCTCCTACTGAAAAACAATTGTATTTATAAAATCGGGGAAAACTTCTTCGATGATAACAATGCAATGCAAGATAGCTTCGATTATTAGCCGGACACATGACTATATTTTATTGATTTAGTATACCTACATATATAAAAAAATAGAATTTTTATAAACTTATAAGTTTATAACATATTCTCACAAAACTGTACATTCAGTTTAACTACATAATGAAATGGGATTTGTATTAAACCCTCTCCTTAAAGGGACCCGTGCACATCAGTGGGACGTATATAGAGTTAAAGATATGAAACTTAGTATGAAGACAGTACTTATCATTTTTTAAAGAAAGTAACTGAGACCAATGTCTTTCTACAAGAGAATGCAATAAATGTTTTTTTTTTAATTTTCACCGCTAATGAAATAATTGTGTAACACAGATATAATCTGCATTCTGATGTTAATAAACATTATTGAATTTTATGTGCATACTTGCTTCAAAAGGTGATAAGATGATTGTTTCGATATCTTTACACTTATTGGTAGTTATTCAGAATATTTGTATTTTACTGGTGAACTCCCACAGGGCACTGTTCTATATACCCTAAAACTCTCTTCCTACTACACGTAGGTACATAATATACATACATACCCTTAGATTAAGGTAGTGCGGTAGTTGGATTCTCCAGTGGAATGACGATTTTCTAGCGAAACGTTGCATTTTTTTTTAATGAGAGTTTTGGCTTGGATACAAAACCTTTGAGCCATGGTTTCGTTTAATTATCGGGATCCTCAATAAATATTTTAAAATATTCTAATATAAGTTTTCACTTTCACTTACATAATTTAGTTCACTTGTTTGGTTTTATTAAATAGTCTTTTAAGCAGCGTGAGTCAATATTAATGTTTTTACTTCCACTTAAATCACACTATTGTCATTTCGAACATAAACTTTGATGTAATAATAAAACTTCGTAATTAATGGAATTTTCTGGAAAAGTCTTTTGTAATTTGGTTTAAAATAAGCTATTTCATTCTTCGTATTTTCTTCATACTATAGTACTACTTAAAAATAATCTTTGTAAAACTGTACTTGTAACTTCAATAACCCGCCATTATTTTCTTGATCAATCTTTCTTATTTTTATTTTTTCACATTCCTGCAGACTATTGTAATATTTTTCAATAGCAAAATATTACAATTGAATATTTTTGTTATAGACATAACATGGTCCCTTTGATCTCAATTATATCTGATCATCCGGACCAAGGACGTGTAGAATTGTAATTAATTAAAATTTCATTCATATCGATTTAGGAATTGCCGAATAAATCCATTCGGAAATTGTATGTACATACAAGTTGAGTGGATACCTTTTATCTTTAGATTTTATATATAAATGTCTGTGGTATGCCAAGAAAGCTGCGCTCGCTCCGCTTCGATGATAGTTTTATTTAATAGATTGTTATGTTCATTTTCAGAAAAACAACCGATGCCTGATGGCGTGGTTGATTACAGTGATACTGGTGCTTATACCGGAATGCGCTCTAGTTTTCTACATGTCTATATGTTATTGGGTAAGTCTGTGTATTGCGTGGATTAAATAGGGAAATAGTAATAGTAGGTAATAGTAGTAGAAGGTTCCGATAAACAAATGAAATTGCAGCGAACTAAGGCCAATTGTAATACTACGTAACTACGTTAAAATGAGTTACTTAAAATAAACAGTAGATTACAAAAAATTTAATCAAGAACTTCTTCAAATCATAATTGTACGGGAAAAAAATGGACTTCCGAATAATATACCAAACTTCCGAAAGAAAAACTAACTTACCGATGTATGTTCGGTTATGTTCTAAGTTGTCACTCACAATAATATTTCCGTATGACGGGAATAGTTTAACATGTACAAAATTTATGAAATGTGAGTTAGAGTTAGAATAGTGTTCAGTAAAATAAAAATTAACTTGGTAGAGTTGTACTACGTGAGCAAGATTTTTAAAAACTTTCAATAGTTTATTCGGTTGTTTCCGTACTCTTGTTTGCACAAAAGTTTTCGGTAGCTTAGTAAATAACGCAGTAAAATTTATATCCCGAATAAGCTCACTTTTAATTTACTTTTCGGAACTTTTATTACTACCCGATTTAATACTTGTTAACATTATAGAGCAATGATCCTGTCATTAGCTAAAGAACAATTTTATTTCTTTTAAAATGTATCTCTTTAATGAGTGTCCAATTTATTTTTAAGCATCAATTTCAATAAGCCGTGTAACTTTTAGGAGTTACGTATAACGGGACTATATGTCCCGCTTTGAGCGGAACAGTCCCGCTTTTAAGCTTCGTGTCTCACTGTCCCCAAAATCTTGGTTTGAAGGAAAAAATAAGTCATATTAGTTATGAGTACCTACATAATTAATGTGACTATTACTTTTTTCTTTTAAACCGGGAATTTACAGTAATAAATCCCATCTTTCGTACCTAGAGAACCTACCGTAGCTCAATATTTTTTGTTGATTTTGCTTAACATGCGATTGAATAACCTACTTAATTATTTTCAACTGTGCAGGGTCTTCAAGGTGTATACGGCGGCGCTGAGTTAGCGTGCTACGTGGCGAGATTGCCGGCAATCGTGTGTGGCGTGGTGTTGGTGCAGTCGGCTTATGCTATACGTGAAGCCAGGTACAAGTCACGCTATAAATAAATTATCATAAAAGCATGAATATGCCGCTTCCCGCTCTTTAAGTAGTTAAATGAGGATGTTTAGACAAAGGAAGTTGTCAACGACTGTTCATAGCTTACATATTATTTATTGGTATACTTTCAACAATTGCTATGAAAGCGCATTGGTTCAAAAGTTTTATTCCTTAGGCACTCTATTCAAAAATTTGTTCCTGGCGTAATACTATTTATATGTTATTTTATGAATGCTATATGACTTGCTTTTAAAATCCTTTCTCAACTTCTTTCACTAATGCTCTAATGAGTTGTGGAAAAATATAGATTTTAAAAGTTTCGTGTTTATCCACTGTATGTTTCTGACACGTTTATACACAATGAGTATGGTATGTTCCTTGTGAGTATAGTGTTCTGTGGTGGTATGCGGGCAAAAAGAGGGTTACAGTGGTAACGCAGCTAACAATCCAGACGAGGATCGATAGCGAAAGAGGGTATACGACATGTCTATTCTTAAAGCTGTCGACTGACCATGAGCATGGAGCGTGAAACCATTCCCAGATATCAATAGACTAATAAGAGTTCATATTGTTGGTTGGCAATTTTCAGGTTAATTTTCTTTTCCTAATTTTCGTGGCAATTTCTATAATTTAAATATTGTAGAATATTATCATGAAGTATTATTGTGTTAAATATTATCTAATATTTCACGAATTTACACCAATACTTAAATAATAAAAATTGCCATCGAAATTAGGTAGAGAAAACTAACTTGAAAATTATACCCTGCTACCTATATAAAACCTGTTAACTAGTGACCAATCAAGGTGGAACAAGTCAGAATCACGGTCCCATCTTTAAATTCACAAATTCGTTTCAATTGTTCCTTCCCGTCTTAAAGCACCTATTCTTTTTAACATATTTCAGGAAAGCAGGGTACCCCAACGGCGTGGCCCCGAGTGGCAGTGAATTCGATGCGAGTCATTATGTTCCAGACGCTCCTAGCGCGTTCACTAATGACGCGTTCTTAGCTGATAATGGTAAACGAATAATTATTACTCGTTATTCTCATGTAAACTGTGGCTTATGAATTCTTACACAATCTGTAAATCTGGACTCTCTGAGCCTCACTACAATGATCACGTTTGGTATGTGGTTAGGTGATTTATATCACTTGGCCTTAGGTACAGCTGCAATAATAGTATTAATTAACGCACTCTATTAATCTATTTGACATGAGGATATTAAAAATATGTAGGTGCCATTATTATGAGGATATTTCACAACGTTTGTACCTACTTAAGATATGGTTTTTATTTTGTTTTCTATCAATTTCCATCATTCTCTCACTGATGACGGTGTTCAAACCCATAAACGGAATTGTAAATATGTTATTGTCCACTTGCAATAAATTTAAGTATATTTTAAACCAATGCTTGCAATACAAATACAATATACATTGTATTGTCTTTTGCATTGCAAATAATATGAGTATGCCCAGTTTTTTGGCAGCAATTTTTGCCAAGCACTCGATGTATCGCCCAAAGTTGATATATATGATAGAGTTGAGCTAATATCAAAAGGTCATAAATAAATAAATCCTTCTGTTTTCAGGAAAACCCGGCTCAATGCCAGATCTACGTCGCCACCTCGCCGCTCGCCAGTCCATCAACCTGGGCTATCCACCGATGATGTTGCCCCAACCGCCACCAGCATACTGGCAACAGTTAGCCGAACGACAATACGCCGCCAGCCTCAGAGGTTACCCAAAACCATTCTCCGGCCCACAAATGTACGGCACATGGGTGGGACCAAGATCGGGACCTTTTGACCACCACTCTTATAAAAGAAGGCATTCTGTCGTAGGCGCCTTTGATGAATACCCAGCGAAGAGCTACGATCCTTATGAAGACAGAATGGACTGTAAAAGTGAAATGGCCTTTCCATACTACAGACAATATCAATATGACCCTAGAATGTATCCTCCTGATTACGATCCTAGATGTTATCCAGATTATAAAAGGGAAGATGCAGCGTATGGTGTTAATTTATTAAGACATGATCCCTACCATTTTGAATCCAGGGAAAGAGCGTTTTATAGTTTAAGAAACAGTCATACTTCTGTTGGTAATGAGTCCGATGATTTGACGAAATATAAAGATGTCGCTTTATAAAACATTTCTTTGTAACAATAAATGTGACGTAGGAATCCAACTCGCCGTACACATATTAAAAATTAAACGGTTGACCATGACACTTGTGAACAGCCCGAAATAAATATCCGCGACTTAGACCTGAAAAAATACTTTGATTTGCAATGTTTAGCAATCGCGAATTAAAAAACCAGGTTAAGAACTAACATCCAAATCCAACGCAAGTTCAAAAATACGTTGGCGATACCTGACGTTATAATAATATAATTGGATGTGTTGGCGAGAGATTGCGCCGTTCATAAAATCGTCAGCGGCGGCGTCTGATAGTTTTTCACTGGCGGTGGCGGAAATCGGCGTGGCATATATTTTTTTACGACATTAAGTGACATAACAAACAAGTCGTGTGCCTGGTAGTGAGTGACACGCCTATCCGTGATAGCTGCAGTGCCACTCAGAGCTTTAAAATCGAAAAGATCTAAGGGGCACTGCCAGGGCGCTAGTCACCCAGAGACATAAGTTGAAAAGTCCCATGTGTCTGTAATTCCACCAGCACCTATACCCTTCACAACCGAAACGCCGTAATACTTACATTACTGCTTGGCGGCAGAAATAGGAAAGGTGGCGACAGTACTTCCCTGGACAAACTCTTTCACAAGGAGCTCTACTACTCTACTACTTACTACTTTAGAATTCTTATTTTTCATGTGTTCAAAAAACACTAAGGCTACTTACTAAAACTAATTTCTGTATTTATTTTCAATGGTTTTTCACACTTTAACTTCTATATTAGCAGTAACTACACAGGTACAGTTACTAAAAATGATTAACATAGAGAATGTTTGTAAATAAACATTCACATAAAAATAAACGCTCTTATTTAAATATAAGTAGATATTCCTTAATTACTTTTAATTGTACGGAAATATTTTATTGAAATGTAGTTAATAATTAAAAAAGAAGCTGATACGTTATTAAAATAAAACAAATTTTCACGACGCCCATTTTACGCCGGTCAAGTTGATGGCACATATCTAACCAGTCGAACAAGCCGGATAAAATTTAGCTGGCAAATCATTAGTTACATAATAGGATTAGTGGATAATATAAATGACATTATAAAGTGTCTTCATACTTGGTGCTTTTCTATTGTGAACTGTCCAACATTAATTAACTTTAGGAAATGTTAACAGTAATTATTTTTCTAGAACATCATAACAAATATGCCATGGTTATAATAAAAATGTATAAATGAAGTGATTTTGATTATAAATATTTACTTTAATCATAAATATAATTATTTGTAAAATAAAAAGGTATTTAATTTACACAATGTATTTAAATAGTAACAAACGTAAAATGCAGTTACGACATATATAATACTTTGTTATTTTTTGTTACACCGATATCTTTTAACGCGAAGACATTGGTTAATTTTCTTGAAATTCTGCTCTATGACTTGTTCTTCCAAGTTAAAATTAATACTGTATAAGTAAATTTAGTTAGTTACCTAATAACCAAAGGTGTAAATATTGTTAATCTAAAATGATGTAAATTGAACATTTCGAGTCACTATTTTATGAAGAGAAATACAGTGAAATAAAATATATTTTATAATACGTATCGTGTTTTTATTACTTTATGAATAGGTACCTACTGTTGTTTTGAAAGAAAGTTTTTGTTGTTTCATTAAAATCTGTCAACAAACACTTCGCAACATTACCATAGAATATGTATTATTGAGCATACAATGGCGTTGCTAGGTGGTAAAAGAATAGCTCTTTAATACGTTCAGCGATGTATAAGATCACGCCCGGAATCCTGATCAGAAACGGAAATACTATAATCTCATTACATTATTTGCAAGAAAGTAGAAAGCTTACTAATCATATTCCAAATTGGCGCCACTTGCAATGTTCTTCAAACGTTTTGTTGTTGTAAGCTGCACTCTGGGTTTAGAGCCGACGACGCGTAGGATGGGTATTGTTTAATATACAGAATCGATATAGAAAGTACACTTGTAGCGCTCGCTGTTTTAGTTTTTTGTAACTTTTCGTAAATATGCTTTCGGTAAAGGTCAAATAACTCAGCTTCCGCAAAATATGACGGGTGCTGTGTGCAACGTCAAAACGCATTCCTACAATGTTGCTACATTAATAAATACTTTGATGTTACATTCCAACATTTAAAACCGAGTTTTTTCTATATTACTCTACCCTTTGCAAGTATGCTATGTAATAGTCTCACTTAAATTACTTATAGGGTCGTATTCTAGAACTCTACTCATTGCTTTAGTCAGGACTTGAGTATGATTTAAAGCACTACAAATCATAATCAAGTCCTTGCCATTAGGTTCGTATTTCCAGTGCTTGAAATCATACTCAATTCCTGTAGAGTTCTGGAATACAACCCATATTGTAGCATTGGCGACAAACCCCTATGCTAAACTGAAATGTAATGTACATAAACTAAAAACTAAATCATGTAAAAACCTTAGACTTTTTCCATTCTCTAAGGTAAAAACTAATCACAATTTTATTTGTCCATGGAGGTAAAATACGATAAAACTCGTCTTTAGTGCCGGGTTCATGAGTCTTTCACTTGCGTTTTTTGCTTGCTTGTGTGACATACGCATAGATCTGGCGCGTACACGCAGGTAGGACTGTTTACGAGTCGCTCGCTTGCATCGGACACTTTCTTTGCGTTGCGTGAGTTTGATATCTACCAAACTTGATATTTCCACGCAAGCAACATGAAACGTTTGTGGAGGACAGCACCACTGGCCAATCACAGAGCAGCAGCGTCCACGCGTCCAATAAAACCAAAACAAAGACAAGGCGCGCGCCGCGTATGCGCGCAAGTCTCTCCGCAACGTAAAGCGGAAGACTTGTGAATGCCTTTGCGCGGAAGGCAGATTTCTACGCCGCGCCGTGTATCCAGCCAACGCAAGCAAGCGAAAAACGCAAGTGAAAGACTCGTGAACCCGGTATAAAACAATGTCATCTGTCTTTTCAAATTAAATGTGATTATCTGTCTTGTTACGATTGTGATATAATATCAGGATTTAGAATGTCAGTAGTTCTTAGAGGTTCGCAATCGCCTATAAATCCCAATTGTAGCGGTGCAATCGCGCATCTGTATCGATGCAGTCGCGCGCTTACAATGCGCGCGTGTAACCGCTCTAAAGGATGAAAAACATCAAGAAACGCTTCAGTCTGGAAGTTAATTGTGACACCGTCACCTGAATTTTATGTATAATTTATTTCAGAATCTTAATTCAAACACTGAAATTATTTAATCTATAATTTGCTCCACGAGACAGATAAAATTGTACAGATATATTTTAATATCGTCAATTAGAAAGTATACAATTCAAAATATGAACCCTGATATTTTACATCGGGTTAATTTTAGACATTGGCAACACCGATCAGCGTTGGCTGTCATTTTCAGAAAAAAAAATAGAACGAAGTCGTCGACATTTCTAAGTTTCAAAGTTTTGTGTATTGTAATAAAAAGTTACTTTATAAGTTAAAGTTAAGTGTATTGCGACAACTTTGACGGAATCTAAGTTAAACCTAATTGCGATTGTTGATAAAGTGTTATTTTAGGGTAGTGTTGGCCGACATAACTGTTTTTAATCGTGTGTAGGTGGCCACCATGGACTGTGTCAATGTGAAAGTGTTTTCGCATTAAAATTTAGACCCCATTGTTCAAATCTTTCCGGGTAGGTGTTGGGAAAAAGCCGCATTAGTGCAACTTGCGTAAGACACCGCGTTTAGACTCTAGATGTAACGTATTAAGTGCTATGACTACGATATTCGAAATGTTTTTGAGATTCTAAGGTAAGTGTACAGTTTTCTTAGTTTAAACGTTTTAAAAACTTATCTACGACGGTCTTATGCAGTTCATTGAAGGTAAACAAACTTTATTTTGACACTGTATTGAGTTTTTAAATGATCAATAGTTCGATTTATTCTGTTTCATTTCAAATCTAGTCTTGGTTTACTATATAATTTTAGATGTGAAACACAAAGTAACTGCATCATAAACACTAATGAACCATGTATATTATATATTTCATTATTTACAGACTTCATAGAATACTTTGTTATTTATTGGAGAATTATGATAATGATGTACCTACTTACACTTAACTGCCTCTGTAGCTGAACGGTTACCATGCTGGACTGCCATGCAGTCCCGGGTTCGATTCCTGGGCCGGGAGAAATATTTGTGTGGCCTACATATATTTATCTTGTGAGTTTGGGTGTAATTTGTGGTTGTCTGCCTATGTGTGTGTCCATGGCACCTGCAATACAGGGTTTCCCTAGTGCGGGGTTATGAGTGTGTGAATTGGTATACAACTATACCAATTACCTCTCAATCTAGGGACAGAATTCACTCTTGGGCAATACATGTAACAATTTCTGGTTCTTAAAAAGTGGTTAATGAGAACATAAGCAACAACACACTGAGATCATAATGGCATACAAGTTGGAGTTTCTTCTTTTACACATAAAAGCCTTTTGATCAATGGTGAAATGTTGATCAACAGGCCAGGTCAAGAATACCCTTAATGATGAGTAGGTGTGAATGATTTCTGTCAGGATCATTTATGTGGAGGGCTGTGGTCTCTGTCTACCCCACTGGAAAAAGGGCGTGTAGCAGCATGTATGTATGTAGGCAATGTTAGTACCCATATCAGCATTGAAATAGCTGTATAAGAAAAACACATTTGTAAACACATGTGTAACCAGTGATCGGGATAGTATGGACGTACCCATTTCGTCATCAATGCATATAAAATTTCTTTGTTTACTATTTATTTTCTATACATTCCCAAATATAGATTGTTTCATGTTTAATTTTTAAATGGCTAAAGTATTGAACTACTTAAGTACCTAGAGAAACACAACTACAGTATTATTTTTTGAGACCATAATTTGTAGCAAATACCTAATAGAAAATAATAATTTGTTTCCAATGTTCTCAAATTTCAATAAATAATATGCTTATTCAAATTTAATGAGTTCCGGGAAGTTCCATGATTCGTAGAAGGGAATGTCCACATCATTCTTTAGTTTAGCTAAATTAACTCCCTCAATTTGGATCACTGGTTAGTAAACTGATATAAAATTGCAAACTACTGTCCTTTCTGGTTAGTTTATAAACATTAATTTAGTCTAGTCTCCTTAGATTCTAGCATGAGGCTGATGAAACTCTGCATCTCCTTACCCAATGTTGCCCCCTGATGTTCCATGCTGGGAAGGCACAGGCTACAACCAGAGGACATAAAAACTGTCTACAAGTTACCCCATCATAGAAATACAACGCTCACTAAAGCATATATTAAACAATTTTATCTGTGGCCCACAATTCAAAATAATGATGGAGCTATTCTTTAAACTGTTTTACCCATAGACCAGAAGCTTTATCATCTATTCTGTATTCTAATATCTTGTATGTCGTCGAGCAGTACAAATTACTCATGGTAACCTTTTAAAATTTCAGTGCAGCAGCTAGAGCAATGATGAATGTGCCATCTCAAGAAAATGTCGGACTGCTGTCATCAGGTAACTTTATTAATAATCGGGATCGAAAAGGACGAAAAATGTACGTGATATAGTAAAAATGTGCAATCTTTATCTATACAAATTGGTCGCTCTTAAGCATTGACTTACAAATAAATGGACGACGGGTCTAATATAAAAACCACGAAAAAAATGTCCCAAGTCAACCTATTCGAAATTTAAATTGTTATGTCATCGCAGTATCGCGCTGTCCGTAGAACAAATGAAGACTAAAGCGGAGTGTCGCGCTCTGTATACGATTTTAGCGCCTTACAAGTGCGGACACTTTTTAGCGCGGACCCGACGTCCATATAATTGTAAGTCAATGCTCTTAAGGTAAAATTTACAATATGAAAATATTGATATTTGTAACTGGTGGATTAAAAAGCAGTTTGTAAATTCTACTATTTATAAATGTGTTTAGTAATGTTTAATTTTGCATTCACTGAAACAACTTTTACCTCTTACGATCCTTGATTAACAGTAATATTTTTGTAAATTTACATAAGATTGATTTAATCACTCAGATACATTCTTTAAATGAATTCGTCGTAAATTATTATAATGTCCGCAATTTCCTCAAAGTAAAGCCTGAGATGAGACTGAATGGTTTTCTTTGTTTGTGATATTTCAATCTTTTGGTATGTTTTGAGTTTCTCCATCAACTAGTGATGTTACTCAACTACTTTGTATTGGTATAATAACATACCTTTTACTCCAATCTGTTATCAAACCGCCTGGTATACTCAAAGCCTCAGTGATTGATAATTGATTACTTTGGTTATGCACCTGTCACAATCCTACTGTATTGATTTTTTTACAGACTTTAAAAAGCCTTATATCAAAATTTCCCACACCTATGTGAAAGAATGTACATTAATAACTATAAAAATCACATTCCTACGAAGATAAAACAATATTTATGATGGTAGATTAAAACAATATGTTAATGTACTTATTTGTTCAGTTGTTTTATATATTTTATGATGATGTATTGAAAAACTGCATTCAATGCATAGTACAGTATGTTATGTATAGTAAGTATATGCAAACTTCAAATTTTTAAAGTAAAATTTTCAAATATTTAAAGTTATGTTGTAAAAGTAATGTTCCATATACTTTGGTCGAGTTTAATTATGATTATTTTTAGAGTGTCTTCAATCCAGGCCTATGTGGTCCCTCATCATTACGACAATCAACTGATCTATTGTGATCACCACTAATTATTACAGTTCAGAACCAAGGCCAACAGCATTAAAGAACTGAAGAACTTTCCTGGTTTTTATATCCTCTTGTTGTGGCCTGTGCTTTCCCAGTATGGTACTTCCCCAATCAAGGGGCAGCACTGAGTGAGGAGGGAGATGCACAGGAGTTTCATCTGCCTTGTAGCACTCTCAACATGTGCTTGTGTAAGCCACAATGCCCTGTTAAGGCTCTAGTCAATATTCTGATGCTATTCCTGTCCAGTGATTGGTGCTGTAGCCATACGCTTAGGGACGTGTATGCTCTCGTTCAGCAGAGTGAGCTTTGTCAGGCTGTGTATGTGTACTGTGAATAATGCTCACAGTCAAATAAATAAATTAACAAATTTTGAATTAAACATACTTTTCATCTGTATGCAAGATCGCCCCATACAAGCTGGTTTTTTAATCATTAGTTTCGCGCGTCTATAAATTAGCCACACACCAATCGACCGTGGTCATCCGTCTAAAAAGTCGCATCACTCGAGCTGGTTTTAATGACATACTTTTTTAAATCTGTCTATAAACTCGCACTACATAATCTGATGTTATTTACACGAGTTTAAGCATCCAAAGGTTACACAAGACAATCCTGCTGTGTAGTTATTGGTATAGTTCTCACACAATCTATAGGCAATTACCAACATATATTGTCTCACACTTACCTCCCATTATTACGTTGTTTTGTGTTAGGACAAAAACTATGTCAGTTGTTATTTTAAGCCGAGGCATTTCAACACGAGCCTACATTATAGGAGGTGAGGTGTGGAGGATCGACGAACTTTGTTTTTGTGACAAAAAGTAGCCTATGACCTTGTCCTAGGTCCCATCTATCTCTATACCAAAATTCATGCAAATTGGTTCAGCGGTTTGGACGCGAAAACGTAACGGAAATACAGTTACTTTCGATTTCTAATATTAGTTTGGATTTTATTTGTTTTGACGGCGCAGGAGAATATCGGAAGGAGATTTAATTTTCGGAGCAAGTTTAAAAAGCTTTTTAAAAAGTTGTGAAACTCCTACTCCTGTGATTTTTGACGTGTTTCCATCCATAATCTTTTAGGCTCTGCAGCTTCGCCTCCACTAATTCCGAGTCACCTATAAGACTCTTGGCAAGGTTGTCAATTAAATCCAAAGTGGCCAGTTGATATGTCGCAGAGCCATCCCAAAAGTGGCAGCAGTACTCCATGCACGATCGGACTTGTGCTTGGTACAGCTGGAGCAACTGTCCCGGTGTAAAGTAACGCCTCACCCTGGAAAGGATCCCAAGCTTCCTTGCTGTATTTTTGGTCATGGATTCAATGTATTTGCCCCAATCGGAGACTGCCTGGAGTGTCAAATATAAACGGCTAACCATGGACTCTCGACAAGACTGGATTTCCTCTCCACTGACCCTTGCATAGGTCAAGTACATATCTACAACTGTGCTGTCATCAGCATACGCAAAGGTACCTGGAATTAACATATCATTGATATGCAGTTATCGCGTAACATACATACCAAAAAACATACAGTCGAATTGAGAACCTCCTCCTTTTTTAAGTCGGTTAAATACGATCAAAAACAATTGTTAAACTGTTCTAAAGCGGCGACAGATAATATTAACGAGGCGTGTATCTTCGGAATGCCATTCTACTGTCATTCTCAATGGAAATATATTATGACCACGTAACGGCTTAAATGGATTTTGAATGACTATGTATTAAGCGACTAAATATAATGTACATACACGGTATATAAGTATAAAATCTCTTGGTAAATGTTTTATGTTGCTGACTTTCACTGTTATGTGTGTTTTTACACAGCTTTGAGAAGGATATAAACCAAATTAATCTTAACTAAATTGAGGAAATCCTTAATAAAGGCTTAAAGTACCCGGATCTGACGAGCATAGCTAAGGGCTGTTGTGAAATTACCCGAGGTTAATAAGTGGGAGACCAAAGAAGGTAAATTTGATAAAAACTTGGATGAGAATCTTTTGTATTATTGAAATTTTATTGTGTATTAAGTAAGCCACTACTTTTGTTATTATTGTTAATGCAAAGATCGAACATAGACTATGCTGCGCTGTAGCATTGCTCTTACCAACTGAGATTGCAATTAACAAGATCAAGTTGTAAAGAGAATTGCTCTTAACAACTTGACCTGTGGCTCAGTTGATAAGAGCAATGCTACGTTGCAAAATAGTCGCGGATTCAAATCCCACCGGGTCGAAGAAACTTTTCTATGTGTTCGGTCTTTGTATTACTAATAATAATCTTTTGTCCAACTTTTGAAAGAAGTAATTAAAATTAAATATAAAAATCTTATACAAATATGTACATATTATATGTACATATGTACTTCACGCCCGTTTCCCATCGGGATAGGTAGAGACAATAGCGTTCAACTTGCCACGGTCGTGACACACATCTCTCGCCTCATCGGCACGCATCAGTGCTTTCATATAAGTTTGTCTATTAAGGGTATTTTTGACCTAGGGCCTAATTTTCGAAGCCCGAAATCCGAAATTAAATCCGTAGTATTCCCACTATGGACGACTCACTGGATTACTGTCGAAGACCGTCAACGAAAAGACGGGTCCGTTCGAAACTGTTAAGTCCCGTTGTCATACATTCTTAACTCTAACCCCGATCGAATCTCAAATCTGTGGCCTTTCTTTAACGTAACGTTCTTAATTTGGTAGTGGTAGATTCGCCTAGGTCGGTCGGTTGGTTAATTTTCTTTCATTTACTCTCTCTTCATGCACGAACCATCTAATCCCTTTCTCTACCTTTTACACTACATCTTCCACGTTGCAACGCTCTCTTAGTATATAAATATACTGTTAAGGAATTTATCCATCACAGTCACTCCAACCATACTTCTCAAGTGTGTGTTACCAATGTAAACGTAGTAACAGCGTGGCTTATTTGATCTTGCAGGTAAACTGTATATATACACTTTTGTCTGAACATGTTAGAAAGTTCATGAAAATTGTACTTTTGTGCTCAAGGTTATTTGTGAAAGAATAACGACCTGTCAGGACTATAATACTAACATCAAAACAACAACTTTAGTTCCATGACTTTTTACGAAACATAATAAATTTACCAAAAAATAAACTTTTAACATTTTGTCATACTACCTGACACTTTTTAGATCTATATTTGGTAGTAAGTTGTTTAGCGACGCCTCCCGCGTGTTGTCATTTATACATGTAATTTTTTTTATAATACCTAGTGACGGGACGAACAAGTCGTGCTCCTGGTGGCAAGCGACACTTCTATCCATAACAGTTCCAGTGCCACTCAGAGCTTTAAATTGCAAAAATCTTAGGGGGCACTGTCACTGCGCCCGTCACCGTTAGATAAAGTTGACAAGTCCCATGTACCAGTAATTTCACCAGCACCCTTATCCATCTAAACGGGAAAGCAGTAATGCTCACATTACTGCTTGGCGGCAGAAATAGATAAGGTGGCAAAAGTATTTCCCTGGACGAACTTTTTCACAAGGAGCACTACTGTTACTAAATTTCGTGAAAAAATAATTTGGTGGTTGGTGCTTTCTTTTGCTACCGCACAGTGATGTCGCCGTTTGGAAAGATCTATTTCAATATTTTTATTTTTCTACGAAAGAAAATCTGATAATTATTAAAAGTCATGGTCATCATCATCAACAAAAGTTGTTGTTTACGAAATTAGTAATGTAATCTTGCGAGGTTGTTAGAATTTTACTAATAACCTTGTATATTAATTAATAAATAATAATAAAAATGAGTTT